AGACGTTACCTTCACAGAACACCATAAAGTAGCTGTCACCACTGTAAGAAAAATGACAGGTTGGATAACAAGGACCTTCCAAACAAGGGATGCCATACGAATTGATGATCCTCTTCAAGATACTAGTGCTTTCTAGGGTGGAATATTGTTACATTGTAACAGCTCATTCAGAGCCGGAGAAATTGCTGACCACAGTTAGTAAAGATCCTTTACGGCAAGAATCCACTCTATCAAGTCATCTTAATTATTGGGACCGATTTAAAGTTCTAAATCTGTATTCTCTAGAGCGCCGGCGAGAGAGAGAGACAATAATCTACAGGTGGAATATATTAGAGGGGCTGGTTCCAAATCTGAACACAGAAATAATATCACATGAGACCAGAAGGTATGGCAGGATGTGCAGAATACCCCCGTTGAAGAGCAGAGGTGCAACAGGTACTCTGAGAGAGAACTCTATCAACATCAGAGGCCCGAGACTGTTCAACACGCTTCCATTACACATAAGGGACATAACTGGCCGACTCATCACAGTGTTCAAGAGAGAACTTGATAAACACCTCCAAGGAATACCAAAGAATGCCGTGTCCAACAGCCTGGTTGACTAGACGACCAACCGGGATTCCTGGTCAGAGAGCGGACTGCGGGGCTGTTGATCCCCGGAAGCTACACAAGGTAGACACAAGGGAGCTGGGAGGAGGTGTGCCTGGTTGATGGGTGTGTGGAGGGGGGAGGGGGAGGTGGGATGTTGTTATCAGTGGGAGTGCGAGCAGACGTAAGGGCACACGGCACTCCCTCTTCATTTTATAAAGTACAATAGTGGCACTAACTCACCACCAGGGCAGGCGTCGGCTGGCACTAACTCACCACCAGGGCAGGCGTCGGCTGGCACTAACTCACCACCAGGGCAGGCGTCGGCTGGCACTAACTCACCACCAAGGCAGGCGTCGGCTGGCACTAACTCACCACCAGGGCACTAACTCACCACCAGGGCAGGCGTCGGCTGGCACTAACTCACCACCAGGGCACTAACTCACCACCAGGGCAGGCGTCGGCCGGCTCCTCTATTGAATGGAAATTGGTTTGAAGCTTCATGTGTATATTTATGAGGCAATAAGTTCGGGTATTTCATGTAATGCTTCCCAGTTGGCCATGATCCACTGTCTCATAATATTCGCTTCCACAGGGAAACAAAAAGTTATTGGAGGCAATATGGCAGAGTGTAAAATTTTGCGCGTTTCTTATTTATAGAGAGGCCGGGAGCTGGAGCCCAGGGGCTGGAGTCGGGCCCCCCAAGTCCCCTCACTAGGTGACGTATTATCCTGGCACCGTATCTTAATCATCAACGCATCTAAGATGGTTTAATATGAAGGTAGTTCGCAGACTTGTGTCATATTCATACCTTCATGACATTCTTTTAATGTCTCATCCACGGGAGACATCTCCCGTCATCTATTGATACTGGTGATGGCTCAAAAGGGCCACCACTTACGGGCTATTCGTGCCCGTGCCACCTTTTGGGTGGCTTAATCTTCATCAATCAATCAATTGTGTCATCGTGGATGGTAGCGACGTTCCTGTCACCTCATTTAATACGTCGTATCAAGCAGGACTCGACCAAGGTAAGGTAATTATCAGGGAAAGCACCAAGCCATTATGACTATATAACACTGGGAAGGGGGTCAGGATAAGGATTTGGGATGGGACGGGGGGAAAGGAATGGTGCCCAATCCCTTGGACGGTCGGGGATTGAACGCCGATCTGCATGAAGCGAGACCGTCGCTCTACCGTCCAGTCCAAGTGGTTGAACTCGACCAAACTGTTAAGAATTACACGTGATAATTCAGATTAATGCCCGTAACTCACTATTTCTTCACCTTTCCATATGGTCATGCTAGCCTAGCGCTTCTAATAATTTCCTTTTCCATGCGTCACCTTTGAGTCACAATAAAACTTATGGAAAAAAAACGAAAATATAAAATACAGTATATATATATATATATATATATATATATATATATATATATATATATATATATATATATATATATATATATATATATATATATATATATATATAGGTAGCCAAAAAAAAACTAGGTTAGCCAAAAAAAACTAGGTTACATATATATATTTCACAGTAGCGATTAATTCCATACAAAAACTCGATATATTGAAGATTGAAACTTTGAAAATTAAATTAGCTTTTAGGCTATTGAAAAAATAACTACCTCCAATACTGGACTTTGAAACTCCACGTCAGGTATGGGAAATGTGTATTTACTATTTGTATCTGCAGAATCGAGCTATTAGCTCTTGGACCCTGTCTTTCTAACAAATCTATGTTTCCTCTATTATATCTACTACATTTATTTCTAACACGCACACTCACACATCCAGGAAGCAGCCCGTAGCAGCTGTCTAACTCCCAGGTACCTATTTATTGATAGGTGAACAGGTGCGTCAAGGTGAAAGAAACTCTGCTCATTTGTTTCCGCCTCCACTGGGGATTGATTCTTGGACCCTAGGACTACTAATCCTGAGCGCTGTCCACTCAGCCGTCAGGCCCTCACCTGTACTTACCTAGTTGTACTTACCTAGTTGTGCTTGCGGGGATTTAGTTCTGGCTCTTTGGTCCCGCCTCTCAACTGTCAATCAACTAATGTACAGGTTCCTGAGCCTATTGGGCTCTATCATATCTACACTTGAAGCTGTGTATGGAGTCAGCCTCCACCACATCACTTCCTAATGCATTCCATTTGTCTACTACTCTGAGTGTGTGTGTGTGTGTGTGTGTGTGTGTGTGTGTGTGTGTGTGTGTGTGTGTGTGTGTGTGTGTGTGTGTGTGTGTGTGTGTGTGTGTGTGTGTGTGTGTGTGTGTGTGTGTGTGTGTGTGTGTGTGTGTGTGTGTGTGTGTGTGTGTGTGTGTGTGTGTGTGTGTGTGTGTGTGATAAGCAGAGATGGTCGACAGTAATTGTCACTGCGGAGGCATAGCCTAGTGCAGTAGCCAACTGAAATTGCCTTCCAGAGTCGTGGCCCTTTTCCATTTGCATATTGGACTTATTTACAGGTCATATCCGTGTCCATTTGCATATTGCACTTGTTTACGGGCCGTAGTCTAGTGCAATAGCTTCAGGAATCGTGTCTTACCAGAAATGTTGCTTGCATTCAGTAGCCGTATTTGAAATTTTAGAACCTAGCTAATCCTAGCGTGCTTGGAGTGGCGTGTTTCTTGACTTCATATAGTCGCAACAGCAGCCTAGGATAAGCACTCGCCTAGTTATTTATATATTTAGTTGAAGAGAGACACAGGTTTAGGGTCAGTAACTAGTAGTTGAAGACGATATCTGATCTACCTTGAGGTGTCCCGTCCCTACCGTTGGATAATCCTTTGTTAATGCTCTACTTGAGGCTCTTATAAAACACTGACGATGGCGCTTTGAACGTTCCCGCCCTCTGCTCAAGAAATCTAACTGGCAATTTATATGGAAATCCAGTTTACACGCGATATACAAACGCTTTCAACGCAATTGCCTTGTTGCAAAATTGTTACGGGTCTAGAGCAGCGGGCCAGCGTGAGCTGTTTGCTTAGGCCCAAGCTTGTTATTTTGTGGCCTTTTGATGGCGGAAAAAAACCGTCACACCTTTGTCAGAAACGTGTAGATGAAGGTCACCTCTAGCCTGCAGGGAGAGGCGTCCCCACCAGCCTTAAGTGAAGGAACTCCCGGTGATCAACCCAAGCCCCTTTTCTGACAAGTTGCAGGACCCAGAACCACTCAAACTAATGCAGGAGAACTAATGCACACGTCCACCGCTCCTTTAACTTGACTTACAGAGTGGTGAAGTGGACGATGACAGGACACCCCGTCACTCAAGCCTACTGGCCCACACGTGCTCTAGTACCTACACGCCACTTACTAGAAAACACAGGACCCACCAACGTGGTGGGCTGCTAGTGACAACCCACCTTGATATTCGACCCACTTCGATTAACTAGCTTCCCATTATGTTGTATTTGTATTATTATTACGAGGTTCAGCGGTAATCTTTGTCTCTTCTGTCATTGATTCTCTTTATTCTCTGTCTCTGACTGTCACTTTCTGTCTCTGTCCGTCTATCTCAGTCACTGACTGTTTCTCTAACTTCACGGTTATTCAGGACCTCAGTGTCCCCTACAGGAACACGGGAAAACTAGTAAGTCCCTTAAATTACATTCCCTGGAAGCTGGACAGGAAAGACTTATCACCAGCAGAGAACAAGTCACAGTAACGTGCCTGAAAACTCATAACCCAACCCACACACACGTATCTTTTCATATGTGTGCGGGTTGGCGTATAACGTGAACCTGGAAGCTAGCATACCTGCAGAGGGTTTCGGGATTTCTTCTACTCCCTGAGCACAGACCTAGGACTAGGAGGCCTGGTCGAAGACCGGGTCGCGGGGACGCTAAGCCCCGAAATCATCACAAGGTAAGGTAAGGTAGGGCTCAATGGGCGAGGGACTAGCTAAGCGACTTGTTTCAGATCTGCACACGAAGACAATTGTTGTCGAGAATAGGAGGCACAGACGAATATGAAAAATTCCCTCAATGTAAAGTATGAATGTATAGACACTGTGATGTATTTGCATAAATGTAAGCGCCTAGAGACCGGTCAAAATGACCATTAATAAGGTAGTCTGGTGGCTTAATAAAGTGGGTGGAGGGCAAGTATTGTTAGTCTGCCCCGAAGGTAATTGTTTTGCGGTATTTCGTAAGTACAATTGTGGGATAGTTAATGTGTTAGTGATGGGGTTGTTTACCTGTGTACAACACCCACCACTGCCCCCCCTCCCCCCCCCACACCACCCACGTCTTCCCCCCTGCCCCACCACACCACCTACCCCTGCCCCCCTCCCCCACCCTCCCACACCACCTACCCCTGCCCCCCCACCCCCACCCTCCCACACCACCACCCGGGTATGTATCTCTGGCCTCTAACCTGAAGGTGGTGTCCTCCCCCAAGGTGGACGTAGGGACGCAGCGCGAGAGTTCAGCAGCCACACCATAACCAAGCCACACCTCAGCCACACCAGAAGCAAGCGCCACGTCTCTACCACCGCTCGGGAGGTAAGTTATCTTGAGGTTATCTTGAGATGATTTCGGGGCTTTTAGTGTCCCCGCGGCCCGGTCCTCGACCAGGCCTCCACCCCCAGGAAGCAGCCCGTGACAACTGACTAACACCCAGGTACCTATTTTACTGGTAGGTAACAGGGGCTTATGATGAAAGAAACTTTGCCCATTGTTTCTTGCCGGCGCCTGGGATCGAACCCAGGACCACAGGATCATAAGTCCAGCGTGCTGTCCGCTCGGCCGACCGGCTCTTTAGTTAGCCACACCCTCGCCACACAGGGCCGCCCTCGCCACACCCTCTCCACACAGGGCCGCCCTCGCCACACAGGGCCGCCCTCGCCACACCCTCGCCACACAGGGCCGCCCTCGCCACACCCTCGCCACACAGGGCCGCCCTCGCCACACCCTCGCCACACAGGGCCGCCCTCGCCACACCCTCGCCACACAGGGCCGCCCTCGCCACACAGGGCCGCCCTCGCCACACCCTCGCCACACAGGGCCGCCCTCGCCACACAGGGCCGCCCTCGCCACACAGGGCCGCCCTCGCCACACAGGGCCACCCTCGCCACACAGGGCCGCCCTCGCCACACCCTCGCCACACAGGGCCGCCCTCGCCACACAGGGCCGCCCTCGCCACACAGGGCCGCCCTCGCCACACAGGGCCGCCCTCGCCACACAGGGCCACCCTCGCCACACAGGGCCGCCCTCGCCACACCCTCGCCACACAGGGCCGCCCTCGCCACACAGGGCCGCCCTCGCCACACCCTCGCCACACAGGGCCGCCCTCGCCACACCCTCGCCACACAGGGCCGCCCTCGCCACACAGGGCCGCCCTCGCCACACAGGGCCGCCCTCGCCACACAGGGCCGCCCTCGCCACACAGGGCCGCCCTCGCCACACAGGGCCGCCCTCGCCACACAGGGCCGCCCTCGCCACACAGGGCCGCCCTCGCCACACAGGGCCACCCTCGCCACACAGGGCCGCCCTCGCCACACCCTCGCCACACAGGGCCGCCCTCGCCACACCCTCGCCACACAGGGCCGCCCTCGCCACACAGGGCCGCCCTCGCCACACAGGGCCGCCCTCGCCACACTCTGCCTCCACTTTTATTTTACTCCTTCACTTCTGGCGAGGCAGTCTTAGCATTGCGTATTTAATGAAGAGTCCAGCATACAGGAGTTCTTCGAGCGCCCAGGAGTTCTTAGAGCGCCCAGGAGTTCTTAGAGCGCCCAGGAGTTCTTAGAGCGCCCAGGAGTTCTTAGAGCGCCCAGGAGTTCTTAGAGCGCCCAGGAGTTCTTAGAGCGCCCAGGAGTTCTTAGAGCGCTCAGGAGTTGTTAGAGCGCTCAGGAGTTCTTAGAGCGCTCAGGAGTTCTTAGAGCAATCAGGAGTTCTTAGAGCGCCCAGGAGTTCTTAGAGCGCCCAGGAGTTCTTAAAGCGCTCAGGAGTTCTTAGAGCGCTCAGGAGTTCTTAGAGCGCCCAGGAGTTCTTAGAGCGCCCAGGAGTTCTTAGAGCACCCACGCCCTGGTTTTCAAGAAACCGGGTGAAGCGGGTCTGCTCCACATGTTGCTGGAACCAACAGTTTGTTTGATACATTTCTTGACACTCAGGAATAAAGTGACACAATTCACATTAAGAAGCCATTTATCAATGGGTATATTTATGTTCTAATTTGGTGCAATTCTCTAATTGGCCTTGTTGGCGTTGTAATCACTATAGATGCTCTGACATGTACTCGAACCCTATAGAGTATAAGTCACATTGACGTCATTCTCTGTAAGTGATGCTCAGATCAAATTGAAAATTGGTTCTATAGAAGACAGTGTAAAACTACGAACTTATGTCAAGAAAGTCTTCCACTGAGCAACGGCACCGAATCACCTTCTGTGGTTGATTGTTCAATAAACCCCTGAACTATATGTTTAACACATCTCTAACCTTGTCCATGGAGGACAGAAGAAAATGTATATATGCTGGTTAGCATTGTAACTTTGTGGCCACGTCTGTGGTAGAAAATAATAATAATAATAATAATAATAAAACTGGGCAATGGATAACTGAATTTCAGATTTCGCAAATTTCAACTACTTAGATATGGACAAATATAAACTCAAATTAGATATGTGATACAATGCAATCAGTTCTTCTCGTACAAGGGAAACGACATGTAAACGACCTGAGACGGATAATGTTGGACGACCTAACGTTTGGGCTTTGGGCAAAATATGACCCATCGCCGTTTTCAGTAATTGGCATATTTTCGGTATAAAAAGTCGTAATTTGAAAATGAAAATAGGTGCAGAGAGTCAGAATTCGGCTCAAAAATCACGCTCAGGGGTCAAATTTCGGACATTTCAGATTTTTTGAAAACTGCAGGGGGCTGTTTGGGCAAAATATGACCCATCGCCGTTTTCAGTAATTGGCATATTTTCGGTATAAAAAGTCGTAATTTGAAAATGAAAATAGGTGCAGAGAGTCAGAATTCGGCTCAAAAATCACGCTCAGGGGTCAAATTTCGGACATTTCAGATATTTTGAAAACTGCAAGGGGGTTTGGGCAAAATATGACCTATCGTCGTTTTCAGTAATTGGCATATTTTCGGTATAAAAAGTCGTAATTTGAAAATGAAAATAGGTGCAGAGAGTCAGAACAGGGGTGCCAGGTTGGGCTACAAGTTGCGAATTGGGCTACTTTTGAGATCCCCACGCTCCCAAATTTTTAATTTAGCTACTTGCGACTTTTTGGGCTAGTTTAAACGCAAGTTGGGCTACTTTGGGCTATTAATATTAAGAAACTCAATGATGATTATTTATGCTTTAATAATATAGTCTGTACAAATCACAGCCGAGTCCAACAGCCTGATTGACTAGACCACTTACCGCAGGAGAGCCCTGGTCAGAGACCGGCCCCTGGGGACGTTGATCCTAGGGGGATTTCCCAACCTTAATTGTTAATAATACTTCATCCCAAAAGCTACACCTGGTTCCACAGATCTTCATTAAGGGAAGAAAGTTATCTAGAAATTTACAGATCGATAAATGATGGGAAAGATCCCATACAGTTAATACCTTTGTCAGGAAGACGATGGTTGGCAAGGAGCGGTAGTGTAAAGCGGCCGTTTGATCAGTGGGGTTCTCTAACAACTCATTACCAAATAGCTTTTTCCTCTTGTGATAAATATGTTGCAAGGCAACTATTTTCAATGTACGCTGATCCCTCCAATAAGCTATATTTCACATGTCTCAAACCAATCCTAAATGATTTTGAAAGGATGAATTTACTTTATCAAAAGATGAAGCAGATCAGTATAGCCTTCACACTGTCTTAGAAAACTTCACTCTTGGAATACTCAGAAGAATCTTTCGTCCTCATCATGCAAAGCTTCATGTTAATTTGGACTACAATTCCATGTATCTGCCCCTGGAGAAAGTTGACTTTGGTTACGAATTTTCAACACTTCTGGCCACTAACAGACAAAACAATTTTACAACCCAGGAAAAGTTTCAAAATGTTCAAGAAAGATGCGATAATTTTTTAATGGAAGCTTGCAAATAGCTTCTTTCTCGTATTCCAAGTAATGTTGAAACTATAAAAAAAAGGTGAAAAATCTGTTACCTATCAAATGCCTTAGCTTACATGGCACAGTATGAAGTATGTAGTACAAGTTAAACAGTATGTTGTTATTTATAAGGGCATTGATCATCAATATGTTGCAGTTCATCAGCATGTTGCGTTGTTAATTCTTAATGCCTTATTCACGTATTTCAGGATGGTCACATTCATGACGTCACTCTAGGGATCAACATGGGAGATGAAGATGTATTAGTAGATTTACAGTTAAACAGGCAAGTAATGTTACATTTACTTAACATCTAAGTTGTTTATTTAGTAATTTATGGTGGGTATTGGCAACATTCTTTGTGCACTAGTCACATTTTGTGGCGAAATTCACATTAATACTGTAATGTATTTACTTATCATACTGTATTACTTCTCATACTTTATTTTCTTATATTGTATTTCCTCTCATACTCCATTTTCGTCTCATACTGTATTTCTTCTCATAACGTTATTATTTTATACAGTATTTCCTTCTCATTCAGCATTTCCTTCTTATTCCTTCCACCCATCTTCCTTACATTTATCCAGCTCTTACGAAACTTGCATAGCGGAGGGATGCTTATCATGTCTTAAACATGATAGTACTTTCAGTCACTATTGGTCGAACGTAGAAAATGTACTGTTACACCCACTGAAGTTTTCTTTTGTGCTAATGATTTTGAAAAGGGCACGAGAACGATGGTGACAACCCAACCAAATTTGTCCTAGAACTATTAAAATTAGGCCTTTGATGGCGTGTGTTCGGCCTAGGATTTCGTATTTAAATCTTGGGACGGATTAGGTTGGGTTGTACATTTAGTTTTCCACTTTTTTTTCATGCCGTCTGGAGTATTTCATTAGTTCAAATTCTAGAACTGTGTCAGATTGTCACAGCTTTAGATAAGGAGTCGACAGTCTTCAAACTGCACTGAATATCGGCATCGATACGCACCGAATAGTGGCATTGATACGCACTGAATATTTTTATCAATACGCAATAAATATCGTCATCGATGCACACTGAATATCGTCATCGATACACACTAAATATCGCCATCGATACACACTAAATATCGTCATCGATACACACTGAATATCCTCAGCGATACACACTAAATATCCTCAGCGATACACACTAAATATCCTCAGCGATACACACTAAATATCCTCAGCGATACACACTAAATATCCTCAGCGATACACACTGAATATCCTCAGCGATACACACTAAATATCCTCAGCGATACACACTAAATATCCTCAGCGATACACACTAAATATCCTCAGCGATACACACTAAATATCGTCATCGATACACACTGAATATCCTCAGCGATACACACTAAATATCCTCAGCGATACACACTAAATATCCTCAGCGATGCACACTAAATATCCTCAGCGATACACACTAAATATCCTCAGCGATACACACTAAATATCCTCAGCGATACACACTAAATATCCTCAGCGATACACACTAAATATCGTCATCGATACACACTGAATATCCTCAGCGATACACACTGAATATCCTCAGCGATACACACTAAATATCCTCAGCGATACACACTAAATATCCTCAGCGATGCACACTAAATATCGTCATCGATACGCACTAAATATCACCAATAATACTCACCGAGTATCATCGATACTCATACAATGACTATACTTTGAAATTAGTTCATTTGCACAATTAGAATGTATTAATAAGTTATTTATTATTTGTTCTATTTATTATTTCTGACATTACATTTTTTGTTTTGTTTTACCGGACTAATTGCAGGGATTGTAATGTGTTGTAACAGACTTTCTCTTTCTCCTTCATTACAGAGATTTGTTACCGAAAGATTATTTTGAAAAGTATTATCACAATGGTTCGCAATATGTGCACCGCCCAGATTCAGAGGTAAGCTTGGGCTGGACACAATATCCAAGGACGACGTCAGTTCAACGTTAAATCAACGTCGAACCAACGTCACTTGGATATTTTGCCCACTGGGAATGATTTCTTTCTCTCTAGCTTAACTAGTGAGCGTGTATGTTCCTTATGGTGTTAGTCACAACACTTGTGAAGTTAGGATTAATTTGTCACAAACAAAATGATTGTAAAGTAAATATATCATTTGTGAAATGAAGTGTATGTATTACCACTAGTAATTCTAAAGGCTGCAGGACTGTTTAATAACTCACAAAATGAGGAATATAAAGGTTTGATATACCCTAGTGAAGGAAAGTGTGTGAATGGAAGTACAGTACATGTATGATGTAGGTTACAATGGGTCGCATGAGTATATATATGATGTAGGCTACAGCTGGTCACTGTATATATATATGTATGCTATACGCTACAGCTAGTCACTACATGTATAATGTAGGATATAGCGGGTGCTACAGTGTGGGTGATGTTCTTAGTGAAAGGCTTAACTTTTTGGCAATTTATATAGTATTATTAATTTCCTTTACGTTGTCTTATGTTTCTAATTAGCAGTTTCTTTTTTATCTTGATTTCCATTTGATACATATGTGTTGTAATTATCTATGTTACTTCGAATGTTTGATTTTCATCCTCACTGCTTCACAACATGAGATAGATATACAGTATAAAATTAGATCCAGTTATAGATGTGATAACGATCGTAAACCATTATGGTTAGACCCGATAGTGGTCAAGGAAAGACTAAGAATTTTGTTATTTGTTTTCATGTTGTGGTCCTTTAGTGTTTATTTGTTTAAGGCGTGTTCTTATGAGTTTTATTATTACTGTGGGGGGATATATGTACATTCGTGTCTTGGTCTGTAATTGTGACTAGATCCTAAATGAGCTGATTGGAGAGAACTGTTCCAGAGGTGATAAGTGTTGGCTGTACATGAGAATAAGATTTATAGCTCTGAAGAATGAAATTAGGGAACAGAGAGACTTTTCAAGTGATTAGGTTAATCTTGAAGACAGGCTTAGAAAAAGAGCGTTTGAAATTGTAGTCTGTGCCAGAGGCCAAGGAGAAACATATGTTAAATCCTTATGTATATATTGTACTTAAAATGCGTGAGATAAGCCATTGTGGGACGGAGGCCGCATGCTAATGCAAGAGTTTTATACTCAGTGAGACTTGATATGTCTGCAGTTGTGTTAGTGCGCAATTTGTCCATGCTTAGAGTGGGAGCCATGTTCTTTACCCAAATTGTATTATTTAGTTGTTCTAAAAATGGTCTTTAGTCTGGCACTTTTACACTGAGGATATAAATAATAAGAAATGTTGAATTATAACACAATATTCTCAATTGCATAACAATATTTCAATGTACTGTATTACAGATGGCTGGTATGTGTCATTATCAGGGAGCAATTCGCGGTCGTCCAGGGTCATGGGCAGCGCTCTCCACCTGCCATGGTATCAGGTAACTCCAAGCTCTCGCTACTGGCTTTAAGGCATCTTTCTTCCAGTAGTAACTCAGAGTGAAGATCTTAATTACGTAATTCCAAATTCCCTCGCAACATCTTTATTCATTTAATTAGTCAAACATTTTATGGTAATTGAATCTTAGGATATGTGAATGTTAATTTACACTGGAACAAGAAGGGTGTCCTGGTTACTGAGTAACATAATTGGTGTATCAGTTATATGCTACAGGAGAATGATGTTCAGTACAACTTTAGTGGTGTTGGTTATTTATTTACATACGTTATCCCTAATTCTTTATATTGCCTTCACTTCAAATTTTTTTGAAGATATATGTAGAGAATTTTATAGAATGTATGAAAGAGTATTGAGTAGGCTTATTTAATAAATATATAAATGTTTAAATACATTTTTGCAAGGGTTGTTATGTTTAACATGATAATTATATAACTATGTTGCATAAATATCTGTGTACAGTACATTAACCATGAGAGATTATGTCAAAGAATCTGCTAGGTCTTTGTCAGTTGTTACTTGTTTGTAATCAATAAAATCAATAGGCCAGGCATCATTTAACAATATGACATATTGCCAGACATATCAATATCACCAATATGTCAGATACCTGACATAACTTAGTAATGATCAGTAGTCTTTGTGTATATCAATAAGTTGCCAGATATTATAGTTTCTTTGTTATTTTTACCAGTGGTGTTGTGTTTGATGGCCAAGAAATGCACTATGTGGAACGGGTACCAGACACTCCCGTGGCCGTAGACAGTCCACATTATGTCTTCAAGCACTCCAATATCATCCCGCAGAACTTTTCCTGCGGTAGGTGCTGACATACCTTGTTTAAGTACTCTATTTAAAAATGTTGTTAGAGTAACCAAAAAGTTTAATCATTTTTTTTCTTAATTTAATGTACTTGGTTCTCTTTGGTAATACAGTATTAGGGGTTTGTTTGTAATTTGGGTTTCAATGGCATCATTGTGTTTGGTGTTCGTATGCCTTGACTTGAGCTTATATATGTAATTTACTTCTAATAACTGCAGGGGTCCTTTTATAATAAAATACTTGGGAAGCTTATTGCTGTATCACATGGCAACGTAACTTTGATTGATGTGATAAATATGATAGTTAAGTGATGTTTGAATACTAGGGTCTTACACTGTGTGATGTCAGTCTTTAAAGGTTCAACACCTGAGCTATGCCATCTGAATGTTTCATATTTCCCGTTTTAATTTCTCGCTTTTCTTATCATATTACATTTAAAACTGTGTATTAAGTTAACTTTCAAAGGTAAGGTAGCCTCAACCACTTCCTACCTTGAAGTGAGATCATCATTTTACCATCCACCTCCAAATGGTTTGGGCCAACATTTAGAAGTACAGTAATTGCTGAAAACTGAACAGTAACACACTTCACTAGGTAAAACTACTATACTAAATTTTGTACAATGTATACAAAACTCTTCTCCCAGGTTACTCAGGGAAACCTCACCCAGTTCGGGACCTGTTTCATGACGAGACCTTCACCAGATTGCTCAGAGTAAGTTAGGGTTTCAGTACAAAATTTTGCAGACTTATTTATAAAAAATAGAAAATTGTGTAAATTTAGTGATTTGCTATACTGTGCAACTTTTTGGATCATATCAACTTTATAAGCATACAGTATTATGTAAAAATAAAAATAATTTTCCAATTAGAAAATTTTTAAATTTTAGAATCAATTTGCAATATTTATACCAAAATGTTTGCAGCTGTATAATATGGTTACATTGACATGATATACCATTATTGGCCTTGGTCCATTCACAATATACATTTTTCATTTTCAGTATAAGCGCAGTAGCAGCAGTAGTAGCAGCAGCAGTAGTAGCAGCAGCGACAGCAGCAGCAGTAGTAACAACAACAATATACGGGGTCCATTCAATGCAAATCCATTATCAAGATACGTGGAGTTGGTTCTGGTTGCAGATAAAACGGAATATGAAAAACACGGCCATGAAGTGGCAAAACTTTATCATCGATGCAAAGACATTGCCAACATAGTAAATGCTGTATGTTATTATCAGTATAAATTTTTACTTTGTTACTTTAGTGATTTCCAATTTTGCACTCAATATACAGTACTGTATTTAAAACTGCATATCTAATATAAAGGCATTATATCATTATAATAAAGGTATAGAGGCATTATATCGTACTGTACTTTTAGTACAGCAATAGATTACTTTCTTGTTTCCAAGAGGGCTCATAGTTATTGTTTCGATGCATTTATTTTATTGAGCTCTTCTTTGCAGTGGTGGATGCTGTTTAAGAATTAAGATAACTAAAGAAAAATTTTGTATAAAATATTCCCATACAGTACATATTTCAAATGTGCTTCTTAAGCATGATCATCACAAAGCAGTATTAAAGCTGATGAACTAATGACTTGTTAATATTAAGTACAGCTCTCAAGTTAACCATTTTATAAATGCTTTACAGTATTATGCATATATGCAAGTTGGTGTATTAATGTATGCATTTTTATTTCGTTACAGTTATATCACCCACTCAACATTTTTATTGCACTTGTTGGGGTTGAGGTGTGGAAAGATGAAGACCAAGTAGAAATATCAACAGATGGAGACAAAACACTAACCAACTTTCTTAATTATAGAAAAGTGAGACTTATTAGAGATCATCCAAATGACAATGCCCAGTTGCTCACGTAAGTAAACCATATTGAAAATCGTAATGATGATTATTTTCAGCATGTTTCATATAATTACTTACTAACCTATCTGCATTTCTCTGGTGTACGGTACGTATGACTTGGCAATTCATCATCATTACGCCGATTTCCACTTTTATTTGATGGGGGAAAGGCAGTGCCCAGAGGAAAAAGACTGTACTGTATATAGCAAGAGAATAAAGATATACTCTATATGAAAGACTACCCCATCCATTCACGAGCCCATCCTCTTGAGTTGCCACCACAAAAAATGGAGTTCTGTACTAAAATTTCAAAATCTAACTTAACCAAGTGTTTATGTACGCACAGAAAATCTGAATATTTGAGTCACTATGATTGATAGTACATCATATTTTGTTCGTTGGGAATTTTGGCGTCAAAATTCAATATATTATTTGAAAGGAAAGGTTGTATTTACAGACATAAAATGATAAGTGATAAGAACATAAAATGATAAATGATAAGTGTTTTACCCCCCTCACACTTTTGGTTAAATTTTGTGTGTTTATTTTATGTTATTGTCCAAAACGCTTTGTATAATACTGTACTGTACTGTAGTGGCTTCATAGATTGTGTTAGTCCTGTCCCTACAATTGTACATTACTCTTATGTTCTATGTACACACATTCTTTTGAATAAACATTTGTATTTGTATTCTCTGTAATATGAATATAATAAAAATCTTCCTTTCAGAGGAAAGCAGTTTGATGCTGGTGTAGTTGGCAAGGCCTTAAAAGGCCCAATATGTACCTATCAGTATTCTGGAGGTGTGAATATGGATCACAGTGACACAGTGGGTTTGGTAGCCACCACAGTAGCTCATGAAATGGGACACAATTTTGGCATGGAACATGATAATGAAGAAGAGTGTGAATGCCCTGATAAAAGATGTATCATGGCCCCTTCTTCTGGGTAAGTGATTGACTGTAAAACTTGCATGGGTTTTAAGAATATTTGAATATAAAAGTACCAGGATACCAACTGGGTTAATTATATACAGTATATAAACTCGGTCCCAACATCCTAAGCAAATCCACACATCCCCTGCTTCTTGTTCGTCGAATTGGGTGAGTAAACCCCACATGGAAAGTGTGTGTTCCAACCAGAGATTCACCAAATCGAGGTTCATTGAATCGAGTTTCCACTGCATTTGAAGCATATAAGGTATACATAAATTCAAACCATTTGTAACTTAATCACAAAGCAAAGCATGTCTTCATACAGTACAGTACTGTACTTCCAAGGAGAATGAAGGAGAATGATAGGGAGACAGCATATATGGTACTGTAAATTGAAATTCATTATACAATTACTTTTAAGTAAAAATCAACATTTTAACTATTTTCAGGTCAAAGAGTCCAACGCACTGGAGTTCTTGCAGCTATGAGTATCTTGCCCTATCTTTTGAACGTTCAATGGATTACTGCCTTCGTAACAAACCAACGAGTCTGTTTGACTCGCCTGTCTGTGGTAATGGGTTTGTAGAGCCTGGGGAACAATGTGACTGTGGCCTCCCAGACTACTGCACTAATTCCTGCTGCAATGCCTCAACTTGTATGCTGTACCCCAATGCCACTTGTGCAACAGGACACTGCTGTGATCTACAGGTTAGTTAAGATGAAAAAATGACAGGATAATAAGTACAGTATTACTGTACTACTTTAGATTTTTTTTTTACAATTATCGTCTACCGTATAATAAAATTCACATTGCAGACAGATATATGTCGAGGCAACCTTCATATTTTTCACTTTTTTTGCTTCTCAGTGTAAGCAAGTTGATGACTGCTTCACTGGTATGACTACCAAGTGTACATATAAAATTCACCTACTATTTCAAGTGATGTTGTACAGTGCTCTACTTGTATTGTTATTAAACATGAAGATGTTAAAAAGACCAGCAGCGAAAATATTTTGGAGAATTCTACACGAGCCACTCCTATGAGGGGAAATCTTCACACAGCAGCTGTGTCCAGGATACATATGACATTTGTCCAGGGTACAGATGATAGTATCTAAATACTTGATTATCTTTTGAGTATTTGACTATTATGGAATCTAGGTTAGCTCCACTATTTTTAAATCATCATCCACATATATTGCTACACCATATACACAGCCCACTCAATGGTCACATCAGTTTAGGGTGTTGACAAAATATCAAAATTAATGGAAAAAGAACCCACACTTAAGTATTTGTGAATTTTATGTAAAGATTTACACAAAGTCTTTTGTACTCTGAGTGCTTTGTCAAGGTACAGTATATTGTTAGAAGGAGATTTACATCTCAATGACTAATCATTGTCCTAATGTAGTAAGTCTTGTCCTAACCACACACTCAGACCTTGACAAAGCACTCAGAGAGTGCGAAAGATTTGGTGTAAATCTTTACATAAAATTCACAAATACATAAGTGTGGATTTTTATCCTATATTGTTATGTCTGTGGGAAGACATTATTATTACTTATCATAGCCAATGTTGTCAGCTTTTTGTAGCCACTGAGATTGAATAATATTCTTAAAAGTATGGATTCCAGAGTACATTTATCTAATTTTGAATATGAACCTAAAAGAGTATATAGTTTTTAATATAAAATGTATTAAAATAGTTACAGTACTGTATATGAAATTAGCTGGTGACATCAAATAATTTTTGAACATACAACACTGTAATTGTAAATAGAAATGACACTTAGCTTCCATAGAAGTATGAGGGATTAACTTACTAGAATCCTCGTTATTAATTTCTGCAGACTTGCCGACCAAGGTTAGCTGGTGTACAATGCCGTCCATCCGTCCATGAGTGTGATCTTCCAGAGTTCTGTACAGGCGACTCCGAGTACTGCCCAGATAATGTGTTTAAGGCAGATGGTCATGAGTGCTTAGCAGGACAGGTCAGTATATACTTTAGATTCAAAAGAATTTCTCTAAGAATTTTTGACTGATTACATATCATTTTCATATACTTTATATTAAAGCTGGACTTAACAAGTGGACAGGTTATAAAATAAACCTGTTCTCAAAACAAATTAAAAAGAATAGTTTAAAAGTGTAAAATTATGATGTGCATCACAGGCCTTCTGTCATTCGGGGATGTGTCGCACACATGGTGAACAGTGTAAACTTCTCTGGGGTCCCACTGGTCAGAGCTCTGATGATCGTTGTTACATGATGAACACTCAGGGCAGCCATAATGGAAATTGTGGCTACAATTGGGTTAATGATACCTATTACAAATGCAGCAATGAGTAAGCTATTCTTGCCTTTTAAAATAATCCTCTTTTATGAGTTAATCTATCTGCTGTATATCTTTGAAGCTGTTTATTTGAAATCTTATCTTGAATAAAACTTAAGCTCCATGATACCTACATTTAATAACTTATAATCTTTTTCACATTCCATTAGTGATGTGAAATGTGGAATGTTGCACTGTATGCACCTGAATGAGCGGCTGGAATTCGGAATGGAAAGTGTGAGCAAGGTGTCTCACAGTTTCCTCAAGAGTAAAAAAGGTGTCATCCCATGCCGAGTAGCCCTGGTAGATATGGGGCTGGATATGGTGGATCCTGGCCTAGCACCTGATGGAGCCAAGTGTGGTCGAGGCAAGGTAGGTGTTTGGTTATATGTATAGGGTGTTTGGTTATATGTTTGTGTTGGATGTGTAAACAAAATTATTATACTCTCTCTTTATTATAATAATTTTAGTAAGAAGGTGTAGGGTCATCAAGAGGAAATTCTTTCTTCTGAATGAAGCCTTTGTATTCAACTACAATACTCTTATTAAAGGATGGATTTTCACAGCAGTTTTGCTCTGGGAACTACTAAACAAAATGGACTGTATTCATAACAGATCGTACCTGGGTGAGGTTTCCTGTTTTATTTTTTATTTTATTTACATTTTTTCACTTTTATAGGGTGGTGAGGCACTTGGCCTTTAGTGGAGAGAAGATAGAGAAGTTGGGTCATGAGGCAAATGTCCTTTTCCTTTGCTGAACAAAATTTATGTCAATGCAGTTAAAACTTTCGCCATCATTAATTTTAGACATTTGTAGAAATTCCATTTATTGTCCGAATTCTATGGGACTTGTTTTAAAATGAGCTCCAACTTCTGCTAATTCTCTGTATATCCCATGTGGCATCCTGACCTCACTGTGTGGGTGCCCACCAACACTGGAGGCTCACTGTTCCCATGACCTTGCTCGTGACAGCCGCAGTCTTCTCTCGAGTCGAAAAGTTTCCCCATTCCAGTTATTTTATCTCAGATATTTGTTGTTACCGACTTTATAAACACTGCAAATTGACTTCCAGTTGGATACTGATCAAGCACAGAGCTAATCCACGAAGAAAGCATTGAAAGAAACATGAATGAGGGAAAAGATATTGAGTTTTCGTCGAAAGTATAGAAAAGTGAGACATATGTTCTTATATTCAAATATCCCTTTACAGTATTCTATTGTGAACAATTTGATACCAAATTGAACGACGTAGCTCAAAAATTGAGGTCATAAAGCTAAAAAGAGTACAGTGGTACCTCGGAATACGAGCGTTCCCATTTACGAGTTTTACGGAATATGAGCAGTATTTCCTCAGAAATTTGAAACGGAATACGAGGGTTACCTCGGAATCCGAGTTTGTTGATACACGTACAGGCAGACCTAGCACGTGGTGGCACGATGATTGGCGCTCAGTTTACCAGTGCCTCACGCCCAGTGACTATCCTGCCTGAATTCTTTTCCAGGATTTTCAGTGTTTTGTTGGATTTTTGGTCATTTAACCATAAAAGGTGTCATTATATATCTCTCAATGGGTCCCAAGAAAGCCAGTGGTAAGGTTCAAGCCAAGAAATCGCATGTGAGGATGACAATAGAGGAAAAGCAAGAGATCATTCGGAAGCATACAAATGGTACCCGTGTTGTTGAACTTTGTAGGCAGTACAACAAATCCACGTCAACGATATGCACTATATTTGCCAAGAAAAAGGACATTATGAGTGCTAACGTGGCAAAAGGCGGAAGAACAATCACGAAACAAAGACCACAAATATTTGAGGATGTTGAAAAGGAGAAGTGGTGTCAGATGTGGGAAGAAATGCAAACTTTTATTGAAATGACTCACCCAGAGGTGAGTCATTTCAATAAAAGTTATATTTAACAAATAGTTTAGATCACAGCACGTTTGTCATTTTTGTAAATTCTTTATCAGACAAATTGATTGAATCACCTTTATTTTTTTCATTTTATATCTCTTAAGTTATAAAACATGTGCTTAAACTGTTACCAATGCTTCTCATAACTCAATGTTCAATTAAAAACTACTCAACACAGATGTGCGTGAATCAACGGTGTATGCCAGTGGCCAACTTGAAGATATCCGCCTGTAACTGTCATGGCAATGGTGTGTGCAACAACAATGGCCACTGTCACTGTGCAGTAGGGTTTGCACCACCAGACTGCCTCTATCCTGGTTTGGGAGGCTCAGAAGACAGTGGGCCTGCATCAAACCCACATGGTATGTTGCAGCATGTATGCTGTGCTGCAGTGCTGAATTATGTATACTTTATTACAGTACTGCATTACAGTAAAGCATTATGTACAATATACTGCATTACAGTATTGTATTATGTATACTCCATTACACTACTGCATTATTTACTGTGTTATAGTAAAGCAATTTACATGCTTTCAGGATGGTTAGTTTATTTCTGTATTTTGCTTTTCTGTCCAGATCAAGATTTTTAAATCTTCAACAAAAGAACCTGATTTGATTTTTCTTCTTTTTCAGCAACCAACACATTCATAGTTGGAATGTTTGTGTTCTTCCTAGGGATTGTGCCTGCAGTGTTGGTGGTGTTGTGTCTGGTGTATTATGCACGTGGCAACCTTAAACTCTGGTGGAAGACAAAAGGCAGACCTGCTACTTCCAAGTATGTCAAATTTAGTTTTGTCATTCTTTTACCCTACCCGTTCTCCTCATTTGCTACAACATACAAAATACAAAGTCCTAACCTAACCAGAAATGTTTGAACTCAAGCAACCCACCTAACCTAACCTATTGATTCATAGAAAATGTGGATTTTTGTTAGATGCTACTTTTCACAGCACTTTGTAATTTGCACATTGTGGACCGTAACACACAAAATGAGACATTAATTGAGATGACGGTTTGCTTCCACATACTGTTAAGTTGTGTGCTTCCAGGGGTTTGGAATCATTTGTTACCAATATTTTGGTTTCAGTCATATAATTTTGCTTTGACTATGATCATTTGCTACTCCACAATCTCAACTCCTCCGTAATTTCAAATTTTCAACTTATCATATGATGGATATTTATCAGAACCGAACTATACAGAGATATCACCTTCCTTATTCATTACATCGTTCCTACAACTTAGTGGATGTGCCACAGGTATTGTTCTGAGAATGGGTATGGGACCATATCTCCTCAAAATATCACCTAAATATAGCTCCCATAAAATTTTGTAGAAAAATCTTAAAACTAAGAATGAGTTTGGGTGGGGGAATTCAATAGTGTAATATACTTAAGTTATTAATTTTTTTTAATAAAATTCAAGATTTTGGAATAAGTTTAATTACTGTATGTATTTCCACAAGATTCTTTGGAAAAAATTAATCGGTATGAACCTTCAAACCTACGCTGGGTGTCAATGATTGAATACCCGCATAAGTTTAGGAATGGAATAGAGCAGTTTTAGTCTTGACATTTTTATATATTTTCTGTTGGGAGCCCCTTTGGCTCCCTGGAGCTATCAGGCTAATATGTGAATTATTAGACTGGGGCATTAGTCTATGGAATTCTGCCTACCTGAGACCACTAGCCAGAACATTTATAGAGAGGCACAGGGAGCAATGGCCCTGGAAAACCCCCTGCGGTTGGGGGTTAACTTTATCTGCCATCAACTGGGGTTAGGCACCCAGAAAGGTAGACAACAAAACAGACCCCACATTATTGTGGGGTCTGTTTTGTTATGAACTCCACCCCCCCCAACCAATTGGGGGGGGGGGTTCCAGGGGGCCATTGCTCCCTGCACCTCTCTGAGGGGGCCATGTTCAGGCTAGTGGTTCCCGGTAGGCAGAACTCCATAGTCTAATGCCCTGGTTTAATGATTCACATATTAGCTCGATAGCTCCAGGGAGCCTCCGGGGCTCACCCAAAAAATGACGTTTCATTACATTCAATGCTGTTTTTTTTTTTAAATGGAGTCAAATTGGTGTTTAGAGTTTAGCACTGGACCCAACACATAAAAGTCATGCTACAGGACAGAATCGTAATTAGGCAACACCACAGTGTTATAGTTATTCACCATTAGACATAAAACTGCATTGCTCACCTATTAATTATGTAAAAACAGGCTTATCATAAACTATACTGGACTGTAAGTGTTTTCCTGTAAAATGCCTTAATATTTTAAAACTTATTTGTGTCATTATTTACCCTAAACAGAACTGGAAATACTTACATGATCACATTTTAATTTTTTGTAATGCAAATTTCAATTGTTCAACACAGACTAAAGAGAAAAACAAAGGTAGAAGATGGTACAGCTTCGGTTCTGGTTCAGAATTCCTATGGTGAAATAAGGCCTAAGTCAACGAATTTGGATACTGCACCTCAAGCTAAGAGTGTAAATAATTAGTCACCTCACTTTACAGGAAAACCTAATAACAAGGCTACCTTAGCACACAACACAATTGTAAATCACTCGGTTTATGCATGGATATGAAACGGCAATGTGTGTTTTCGAATTAGATTATGAATACTGATTCAGTACAGCAATTTGCTAAAGTTCACAGTATGATTTTTGTTGTCATTTTATTAAGCTAGTAAAATGTGTATGAGCTATTTAAGTTGGCTTGGCTGAAAGTTGGCTGAATAATTTATGTGTTGAAAAATAAACAAGAGCATTATCCATGGAGGGAAGACTTTTACCAGAGTAGAGTGAATCTTAGGAGAGTATGGTAGACCACTCACAGTTTTAGAAGTATTAATAAAGCCAATGAAACTCAGAAACTTCAGATAAAATTAATATTATGCATCAAAATAATAGTAAAACAATGAGAATAAAATAATACCAAAAAAGAATTCATAGGATGGTGGTAGGTATAAAAGTGGCAATAGGCCCATTAAAGCACAATACAGTATTAAGGAAAAGAAACAAAAAATATACCATTTATAGTTTAGTCAATGCTTGGGATAATGGAGACAAGATATTTGTTACATACAGTACATAAAGTTGGAAGATCAGTTTTCATCGTTACCAAGTTGCCTATCAAGACACTAACGCTCTTACACTTCCTACCTACAGTTTTTTGTGATTGACTAGACATAAATTTCCCCAAGAAGAGCTAGGCTTCTTGGTCTTAATTATCAATATATTTTGTACAATTACTTTTAGATTATGCAAGAGATTCGTGGGGGCCAGTTTATAAATTCTTGTTTCTGTGTCCGAATTTCTGGCTTCTCTCCAGATTATTATTTTTTATTTTTTTGGTTATATAATAAAGCTTTCATAGCCCAAAAGATGAGTCTTCTATGTTAAGATATTGTGATAAAATCTTCATTTCTATGAAGTTTATTTTCAGACAATTAGTGGTTTATAGCATTGTTTCATTCATTTTTCTCATATATAATCAGTGTTGACATTTCTTACACAAAATGAGGGCATAAAGTATAGGAATAAACATTAGATGAGGGTGTATTGTTTCTGTCAGAATAGGAAACTGCTTTGTATGGCTTTACATGTACAAACTCTGTGATTCAGGTTGCTGTACGTGTTCCCTCGGGTTCCCCTGTTGACACTTATAAAAGTGAACTATGGCTTCATTATATCATCTTTTGTGTTGTTGGAATTCAGTTGAAAATCTTCTCTCAAAATTACTGGAACTTCTGATTTATATCTTAAGATGCCTTTTCATTGATCTGTTTATAATATGATGTTAAACAGCTATACTATGGGGAAAATAAAGAGCAGAATGTTTTCCAAATAACGTTTGATTGCAATAACTCGAAAATCCAAGCTTCTTAGACTGAAAGAAGATGCTGGAGCTGTCCTCTATGGAAAATCAGATAAAATATTTCTTAGTATTTAATACCACAGTACAGGAAAATGTGAACCTGATCTTGAAATTAGGCATCACTGTAGATAAAATTCTGAGCTTAATAACAATAACTAGAATGAGTCTAATAAAGATTCTGAGCTGTCATTCAGTCATTTCCTTAGACTGCATAATGTCTGAGTAGAGACTTTTAAGACAGACTTTTTAAATATCTTGTGCAAAATATCCAGACTCCCATATCAGAATTGACATATCTCATATCAGATAGCATTTACAGTGCTAGTATTTGAAAATAATACCATGGATATTGGTGAATGTTGTAATTGCCAAGTATTTTTTTTTTATACACCTTTAATAATTGCCAAACTGAATGCACTTTATTTCTAAGTACTGTACTGTTATGTACTATCTTGATATCAAATACAAACATGTGAAACAATGTTTTACAAGGATTTGCTGCACAAACTCACTGCACACGTTATCCTCAGTTCTTGGAATTTAATTCTAATTCCGACCTGTGACCAAGTTTGTCATCTTTTCTGGGAGGACTTTCCTCGGTGGGTCCCTGAACTAGCCGCCTGGTTAGTTCAAGCAGCCACTGAGGGCACCCACTAGAAAGTGTTCTTTCATTACATTCAATGCTGAATTTTAGATATAAAATTTGGGCGCTCTTACTTGATATTTTTGTGTTAAATACAACTATAATAAATTAAAGCCTCAAAGATGCACATATTGTGCATAAGTTCACTTATCAGAATGCTTGCACTTATAAAACGCTGAAAAAAAAAATGCGTCAGTCTTGAAGTATCTTTGCACAAGGTGTTCACACGTACCATGTTTTCCTACAAAATTGTGCCATTGACAAGGTGTAGTATACAAAATAAAGGGCAAACAGTGTATCTGTATGTTCAGATATTGTACATGATACATTCACACCGGATACTTGACATTATTAATGCTAGCAAAGTACAGTGCAATAGTTTTGCTATACTGAACTGTACAATAAGTTGACAATATTCAAAGCAGCTGAAAATTATAAAAATTAGAAAAGTGTTGCCCATAATAGTTAACATGAGTATTTTGCACTTGTTTTGTTTTCATATTTTGTCAGTCACGGTGGACATAGTATATGTTTGTTGTTACATGTATGCATGTGTGTTAACACCATCCACATGTGTGCTTGTACTAAACTTGTTAATGACAGCAATGTAAAATACATTGTTTTAGCTTCGGGAACATTTTGATATTTTAAACCATGTAATACTTCCCATATATATGAAAATAAGATAAACTTGCTCAATTTTGGTTGAGTTCCTTTAGTGGCTCTCCAAGTTACCCACCAGGGAACCTCCAAACTTTGGATACCACACCAGGCTCTCAAAATTCATGAATGCCTACCACATGCCAGGACCAAAATCTGGCCACCTCAATAACAGTAAGGGGAGTCTATGACTACCACAATAATCTGAGAATAAGCCACCTGAAGGTTGAGCTCAACGAAACAGGCAACTGCAAGGGTAACATTCGCAACCCTGATCAGAACCATGATTACTAGCAACCACTTGTTAGCAATACTTTCTCACTACCAGATGGATGCTCCAGTCACCTGAGAGCACTGACTGGCCAGCTTCCTCACTCGTGCATCTGGTACTCCAGGGTTCATAAGGCTTTTTGGGCTCATTTGGCCTTCCATTTGGACTTCTGTCAGGGCCTTTATATGAACTTCTTTGCCTTCATTAGTTGGTGCTGGCTGTGCCTTTGGTCCAGGTTATCCTCCCTGATATGGTTTGAAATAGTGTCCCCTTTCAGTTTTCCTCCTTTCGAGGTGCTTCATCCTGGGTCATGCAAGTTTCTTTGCTCCTCTGTGGAGTCCCAGATTGGGTATGGATTAGTTGTCTTTCTTCTGGGGACACATGATGGGTGTGTTCTTGCAGCAGCTTATACCTCCCTTTGATACATATTTCCTGGTCAGGTGGTTAGCCTCAGGCTTCGCATACACCTTGATGCCTGGCTTCCAGCCAGTTCATACCAGGTTGGTGCTGGTAGGTGCCCATGCATCACATGTTGAGTGGTGTTGTGTAAGCTTCCTCAGAGTCTACCACAGGCTATGGTTTTCCTGGGTGTTTGTTGGCTTTAGTTCACACTGATGAACACCTTTTCTGTCAACACTACTGTGCCTGTTGGTTTATGATTTTCATACTCATTGTTGTGAATGCTGTCATACTTAGACCTCAGTTTTTGCTGAGCCCCCATTGTGGGTGGCAGCTTATCAAGCAATGGCCACTTGACACAACAGGGTATCCTATTTTTGTTACCTGTGGCCTTGGTCGGGCTTGGATGCCCTAGGTTTGGAGGCTCTGTTTTATGATAGGATGGAGCACTTGGTGATGCACTTATAATACGTTTGCACCCCCTTCTCATTCTTTGGTTCTGTCGGTCGAGGTGTGCCTTGCCTACATCTGCCACTTTTGATGCAGGCTCCTATGCATCTCGGCTTTTGCAGGAGTTGGAGTTTAGCTCCTTTGTGGGTTGAGAATTGAATCTTAAGAGCCCTGATGCACCACCCAAGGTTTGGAGGTTCCCAGGTAGGTAGCTTGAGGACCCACTGTGAAAGAAGCATTTTATTACATTCAGTGCTGGATTTTAATTATATTTGGCATAATGTAAGCTGTAAACACTTCCATTGTGGACTCTTAAGAGACTGTTGGGAAGTCCTCAAAACATGGAATCTGGGGGACCCCCAGAAGGGAATACAAGAATAGTGAAGCTAGTGTTTTCACTAGGATGATCTTTGCTTCAATTTTTACTTTGGCATAGTCCAGCTGAACATCATATTTTTGTAACAAAAGTGAAAGTCTTCACAAAAACAAAAATGGACAGTTCTGTCTGTTCTATTCTGTGCTGGGGTCTTAAGCCTGTAAAGCCCCCTGCTGAGCCTGTTGGGAAAGACAAGGCTGTTTTGTACACCTCAGATTCTCGAACAGTCAAGGGTTCTATGCCAGTATTGTTTTCCTGGGGTCACTGCTACTGTCTGGAGCTCTATATGGGTGTTTGTCTTGTAGTAATTACCTAAGTGTAATTACCTAAGTGTAGTTACAGGATGAGAGCTACGCTCGTGGTGTCCCGTCTTCCCAGCACTCTTTGTCATATAACGCTTTGAAACTACTGACGGTCTAGTGCCTCTGCTGTCGTGCTCTTGCTTGGAGGCAATAGTGTCATCGCCGGTTATTATTCTGATGGCACCTGTGGTATTGCCCTCTTCTATTTTCCGGGTGATCTGTGCTCTCATTTTGTGGTTCTCAGGTAACTATTGTTGGTCATCCTGTGGCCGGTGTTCTTGGCACAAGGGGAGGCGGACCAGGTTGTCTTCTCTGGGGAATTCATTAAGAGCCCTAATTACTGAGGTTGCTAATGACGTGTCTCTCCTAGGTGGTAATGCCAGGCATGCATTCCCAAATAGTAGAAGATTGTTCCATGCTCCAATGGTTCTAGGAGCATTGTTAACCTAAGTCAGCAGACTGGCGAGTTTTGTTGCTGCTTGGTGATGGGCAACCTTGGGGATGTGGGGCAAGGTCTTGGTGGACTTCGCTTTGACTGCTTCAAGCAGATTGTCCTGTGTGTGTATACACACATACCTTGGTATGTATATATTTGAAATATGTATAGTGAAGATCTTGTGTCGTGAAGGTTGCATGTAGTGAATATCACTACTGTATCATCTATTCATTCAATATGTTCAAACCATCACAATTCATGGCTCAGTCTTACAATTGATCTACTTTTGCACCTTACACCAACCTCTCCATGACATCATTCCTTACTTCATCCTTCATGTCAGATTGTCTGTTTTCACCACTAAAACCATGATTGTTCAGGCTTATGCCATACCACCATCTCACATCAGTACATAAATGTACTGTATCTATATATATCTTGTCATTCGTTAATTATAAGACCTCAGGTGTTTAAGAATAATAACAACTTATACGAGGGTTTAATACTTTTGGTGTTTATTTAATTTTTCATAGGAGTATACTCTGGTTAGGGAAGGTTGCACTGTATTGTATATTAAAACTGATGCAAGACATTAAGATTAAAATATCCAATGTTATATGTACATGTAAATAGTTCCATGAACAAATTCATGTAGTCAATGTTTATAAAAAAGTGTAAAATATAATTAAGACAAATAATTGTTATAATATAAAGAAAATACCTACTGGCAATATCCTACAAACACCAAAAACTGAAGAAATAACTCTTCTCCATCATGGAGGAAGTAAAGTATTGGCTTGTACCATTGCATCACAACCTTGTACTCATTTTATACATTGTATGTATTTGAAAGAGTTTCATTGATATAAGATTATATATTCTTATGATTATTACTGATTCAGTTTACTGTATTAAGTATTAAGTTTTAAGTATTAGATATTAAGTTTACTTTTGATTATTTGTTATAGGTTGCCACATGTGGACCCGGGGAAACGAACGATTCGTCCTCCAGGCTTGCTGTGCGTGGAAGTTGGAGGAGTGGGCAGGCTAGTAGACAACACGAGAGGGGCAGTAACCACTCCCCGCTCCCCAACACCACCATCATCGCAGGGATCCAAGAGCAATAGCCCACTACTAAATGGGCATGCAAATTCCATCACAGCTGGAGGCTTGGCAAACAAACCACTCACATTTTCTGGTAGTTTCTTTGGAAAAAGTGAAGGCTTTACAAAACCAGTATCTTCTTTAAAAGAGAAATCACCACCAAGTTCAAAGAATAGTGGAGGATTGGTACCACCTATTCCACCACCACCTGTTACTGCCATACCTGCATCTGCTAGTGTGCCGTCTATCACTACAGGCGTAATTATCACAAGTGCTTCCAATGGACTTCCAAACAGTCCTTTAGTAACTGGGTGGCAAAATAAAACTACCAGTCAACCAGGTCAGATAGGAGTGGCAAGTATTGCAGCAAGTGAGGGGGCTGGAATTAAAATGAGTATCAGTGGCCCTAGTTTACAGGGCTCTACTAATCCAGCAATTGCATCCCATATACCGAAGTCTGTATTACCAAATAGGGTGGCTCCACCACCACCACCAGGAGTAACTGCAACAGGAAACCCACAAAAAGCGACTACATGCTTACCCCCTGTTGCTATTATTACACCATATCGCAAGGTTCCTAGTCTGGTAACCAGGCCACTATCGGTACCAGATGCATCCATACTTATTTCACAGACATGTAAGCCGGTAGAAAATCAGGACGAAAATTGTGAAATAAAGCGGCAAGAAGGAGATAAGCAGTCAGCAGTTGCTAGAATTGCTTCTTTTCTTACTAAAAAGGATAAACAGGGAGTGGAAATTAATGAGACAGATTTTGAAGCAGGACGTTCAAATACTCTGCCAAGAAAAGCAGCCAAGATCAAACGTGAAAGTCTTGTGCAGTTAGAAATCTCTGCTCCAATGCAACTTCATGCCACAGAACTTCCTGCAAATTTAGTTCCTGTTAGATCAGCTCCTGACCCTCCAATGCCCAGTAATATAAAACCAAGCCAGGTAAAGGCAGCTCAAGAAGAAAGTAGCAAACCCAACAAAGTATCTTGGGCTCCATCCGTCCCAGAAGACAAAATCAAGACTCCTAATACAGATGCAAGATCAAACATTAGGGTAATGTGGATACCACCAGTTGCAGAGAAAAATGACACTAACAAAGAGCTTCAAAGAATAGGCAGCATGCGTGAAACTCCAGTGACAATTCGTCCAGCCATTCCAAAGTTTGGTTCCATGCGTGCACCCAGACCCAAAAGCTTACCTCCAACGAGGCCCTCGGAACCACCCCCTAGACCTCCCCTTCCTACAATCCCAGGAACACCAGAGTCAGAGTGTTTCTATGATGACTGTCTAAATATCCAAGAAGGAAGTGCTCCAATAGCTGACATTGATGAAGACACTTCTCCATCAGAAAACATTTATGCAACTATTGATGACAGAACTCCAGATAAAGAAATTCCTTTGCAAGAAGTTACATATGCACCTCCAGACACAGTTGATGGGAGGAAAGAGAAGAAATCTATATTCTCCTTTCTGTATAACAAACCAAAGAAGAAAGCAAATGATAAAAACTCACCAGATGAGAAGACAGCATCAGAGCCTCTCTACACAAATCTTGTAGAGTCACCACCTGATCTTGAAGTGGATGTAGTGAGTATTGAATCTCCACAAGCTAGTGACACATCACTATCAGTTAGTCCTCCTTCATCTGCTTTACTAGATAGCCATAGAACAAGTTGTGGTAGTTCAGAAGATGGTGGATTATTGTCAGAAATAGTTACAGAATTATCAACTAGAGATGCTGAATTTGTTAGTACATTAGCTAAGAAGAGAAATAAAAATAAAGGTGGAGACCAAGGACCCAAGACTAGCAAATCCACTAAAGTAGGGTCTCCTACTAGTCAAGATAGTAAGGTTAATGCATCACCAAACACTGAAGCAACATTACAGCCAAAGACAAGTAATACAAGTACAGGCTCTAACAAGACAAATAATAGTACTATGAGTAAGAGCTCATCATACCCATGGAGATCGAATAAAGTACCTGATGTGGTGAGAAAATCTAGTGCTTCTGCTGTAACATCTCCAAAAGATGATGGCTTAATTTCGAATAAATTGCCTAAAGCTAGCACAACAGATCCAAGTAGTAATAGTGCATCATTTAAACCTGTACCAAGAGGAGTATTTTCTTATTTAAATGCAGGAAATGCAAAGACTGCAACCACTATGCCATCCACAACTTCTCTTACCTCAACAGTAACGCCTGGTACTTTTAAATCATCTTCAAGCTTCCTTAATTCAAAGATAAGTCAAAATGTAGTTACATCAACTCCTACTGTCACCACAACCACACCAAGTACCACCAATAGCACCAATACACCATCAATGAATTTAGCTGCATCATTGGCAGCTGTTAGGGCAGCAGGGGCAGCAGCAGGGGAGGCAGCAGCAGCAGCAACATTAGCAGCTGGCAGTAACAAGTCAGTGAAAACTACTAATAATAGTAACAGTAATACAGCTGAACCCATAAAATCAAGTTTCAAGGAAAGAGGTGTACCAGCACAATCTATTAGCATTTCAAAAGTATCTGTAACTATCCCTACTTCTACAGTCACCACCTCGGCAAGCATCTCAGCTTCAGTGCCAGCTACTACAACAACTGCTGCAAGAACAGCAACTGTACATAAAATAACACCTTCAGCAGTTACAACTAACATATCATCAGTACCACAGCCTAGTAGACCAGTGTTTCCTCCAGACAAAGTGTTATTCCCACCAGATAAGGTCATTACACACTCAAATATCACCGAAAAAACAAGCAAAATGGAAGAGCCTGTTTCAACAGAAACATCAAGCAACAGTTCAAATTCTAAGGAGTCTATTGTAACGTCTTCTGGTGGAAATAATGTTGCACGTGGTAGAGGTACATCTCAAGCCTCTAAAGTAATATCACCAGTTTCTAAGCCTGGACGTTTATTGTCTCCTACTCGAGGTGCTACACCAACACGTGGTACAACACCTTCGAGGATTACTTCTAATACTGGCAGTGGTCGTGGAGAAAAGAGCCGCAGTACTACTCCACAGCCAGGGGTAAAGAAGACAACAACAGGAACAGTAAATAAAGTAGATCAAAAAGCAGGAAGCAAGCCAAATGAAAAGTCAGGAACTAAAGCTACTTCAAAAGCAGGGGATAAGACAGGCATAAAAGCTGCAGATAAACAAGTGGAAAAAGCAGGACCAAAAAAACCTGCTGTCAAATCTATACCATCAATTAGTAAACCTTCAACTGGACAGTCAGCCAGACCAGGATCAGCTACAGGAATTTCAAACATAAATCGAAGTGGACGGATAAGCAATTCACATGTAGCATCTTTGCAACAGAAATTTGAGAAAAAAGAGTCTGATGTCCAGGAACCAAAGCCAGTAACAAAAGCACCGTCCAGAAAAAGTCAGGAGGTAAAGCCAGCAGTGGCCCCTAAGCCAAAGTAATTTTTCCTTGCCATGATTTTTTAGCTCTCAAAAAACTGTGTTTAGGCCACATAAAACATGTCAGATTTAAGTCCTTGCCAGAAAAAGGAGGCATTCGTGTCGGCTAAAGACTATGAATCCTGACTTTCTGAGCAGCAGGGATCATATTGTATTTTGACCTGCAGGTCATTATTGGCCACTATATTGAGTGTAAACAACACCTAAAGTGAACACTTATCTTGCCACTAGCATAGCAAGTAACACTGTGATAACTTATTGGGACTAGAGTGTAAATCTTGTGACTGTGGATAAAATCCCTCGTGTCTCATGATAATGACTCGTGTGCTTGATATTGGCCGGAGTGACATGAATACCAACAAGTTTCTCGTGGAGTTTGAAAAAAATAGTTTACGAAATGGGGCTTGTTTGTAGGTCTTTTATTAATATACTCTCTGTAAACCAAAGATATTTTGTTATTATTTAACAGTACAGTATTAGTTTGTTTTTGTAACTGAGATTACATTTTTAATTATAAATATGTTGGTGCTGTCTGTGAGCTGCATATGTCCCTAGTCGGTTTGTGTTGCTTGTAATTAGGACACATTTATTATTTACAACTGTTTTGATAAAATTGCATTTCCTAGTACTTATGCATTCAAGCATTTCCATGTATCCCAGATGGTGCTCGCAGTTTTAATTAATGCTAGATTTAAAAATATATTGAAGTAATCTTAACAAGATTCTCTGACAAAAATTATATAGGGATCAATATTTGAAACAAAACATTCATCAGTGAAATGATGAAATTGTATAAAAGCTTAGGAATTATTGCTTTGCAGTATGCTCATTTGTTTTATTGTTAGGTTTTAGTTGTTTAAGTTTTGTCATTTTTTGGGTTTCTGGAGTGAAGTGTCTTGGTCTGCCTTAGGGAAGACCTGTGTCATAGCTTATCAGTGAAGTGTCTTGGTCTGCCCTAGGAAAGGCTGTGTCATAGCTTATCAGTGAAGTGTGTCTGCCCTAGGGAAGACCTGTGTCATGTCAACGTATCAATATAATACTGTTTAGATTTGTCATAAATAAATTGGAGTACATATCAACTTAAAATTCAAAGGTTTCATAAAATGAACTAATTACAAAGTTCTATGGAAGTTTGTTAAAGCTCCAAATAAGCCAAGGGTGTTATGCGTGTATAATATTTATGGTGCAACCCTGTGTTCTTCGGAAAAAAAATAATTACAGTAGTCATCAACATTTTATCATGTAGAGTTATAATTGGAAGACAGATCCATACATCACCTATATTGAAGTCTCACTATATGTGCAGGTCTGCAAGTGATACATATGATGCATATGTACCTTTCTAAAGCCATGTAAAACACAAATAGCCAATCATATATTCTGTTGAGACAGGTGCATGCACATGTTCACACACACACACGTACAGGACTTATAGATGAACACCATGTATTGCTTTCTTTTTTGGTTAAAGTTAGACTTTGAAAAGTTCTTGAATTTCAGTACATAAATTTACCGTGATAAATATTATACTGTAATTTGTTAATTCTGTAATTTCTCAAATTACTAAATGGTGTGGTGCTTCTTTTTTAATTATAATTGTTATCATGAGCATACAGGAGGCTTGCCCTAATATCAGATAGGCAATACAGTATTTATATTTAAACTAGGTGACACATTAAGTTTGTTGAATATGCTTCCATATGTTAATTTTTAAATTAGATATTCACTGAAAACATTTGTTTAAACAAATTCCATGATAAATATTTATATTGTAATACATTATATGGGATTACAGTATATATAGTACATACATATGTATGTGGTTTTGGGCCAGACCATTTATATGAAATTTATGGTTTAAGTTCAGTGCCTAATCTATTATCTTCAGTCACCAATCCGTTGAGTCGGTTATCAGTTGCAGCCGAGGCTTGGATGATGTTCCTGATGGAATGATGGAAAGACATTGCATAAAATTGCCAAATAACCATCATTATGGTTGTATATTTTATTGTAACACATTGGACACTGATGATTTGTCAGATAAACTACTAAAAATAGGAAATAAGTTCAGTATCCCTCATTTTAATATTTATTTCATTCATAGATGGTTAGCCAATATATTTTTTAAACTGGGACCCCAAAAATAATATAGTGCTTAGTTGATTTCTTGAATACAGTCAGGCCTATGGTGATTAGGCTAGGAGACTAGACTAGATACTGAGCATTACAAATAATTAAACTTATTATGACCAATTATCAGTATCCATAGTCTACAAAAAATATAGTATGGTGGTTTGAGTACAATGTTTATTCATCTGATTACCGAATATATATTTTTCCCCATTTTGCATTAGGGTAATAATTTCAGTAACACTGATGCCAAAACTAGAAGTGTTCGTACCATTATGCTCATGCGGGAATTTACCGTACATTCAGTTTGATAAACTGCACGGCATGAAACGGTTTCTATTGCCTTATTTGAATTTAAGTACAGTATATACCGGTAACTCAAACATTTGTTTGGAACTAGTGTGTCAACATATTATAATACAATGGCTTCAGATAGCCATTATCTTTTACAGTACAGTACTTAATTTCTGAGGTTATAGTTATTCTAAAACAAAAGTAAGCAAACCATCAAGATTATCATATATATATAATATACAGTATACCTGTATATAAATACATAGACATACTGTATGTCTATGTGTGTATATGTATGTATGTATATATGTGCGTGTGTGTGTATGTATGCAGTATCATATCTACAATACATACATCTATCATATTTACGTTTGAAACTGTGTATGAAGTCTGCCTCCATCACATCACTTCCTAATGCATTCCATTGGTTAACTACCATGACACTAAAAAGTTTGTTCTAATGTCTCTGTGACTCACTTGGGTACTCAATTTCCACCTGTATCCCCCTAGTGCGTGTCCACCCCCCCACATTAAATAAACTGTCTTTATCTATCCTATCAATTCTTCTGAGAATCTTTTGTGAGTGTGTGTGTGTATTTTACTATTTGTGCCTGCAGGCATCTCCAAGGGGAGATTCCATCTGGGCCTATAGTCTTTGGCACATCCATCTCTAGCAAGAGCTTCTTTACATTCCCACTGGTAATCCCAAACTATTCTAGTGGTGCCTGGTTAACTATTTCCTCTTATCTCTGGAACTTCTCCTAGTTCTAATGTGAAGACCTCCTGGAATTTCTTATTCAGTTCCTTGCACACTCCCTTGTCATTTGGTTCCTTTACTGTTGTTTTTCTCCTGATGTGGCTGTGCAGTAATTTAGGTCGAGTGTTTGCCTTGCTTGCAATGTCATTTTCGTATTGCCCTTCTGCCTTTCTTCTCAGCCTGACATATTCATTCCTGGCACTCTGGTATCTTTCTCTGCTCTCAAGTGTCCTGTTATTTCTATAGTTTCTCCACGCCCTTGTACTTTGTTGCTTAGCTAGCCTACATTTCTGATTAAACTATTGGTTTCTCATCTGTATTTATTTTTGTTTCCTTTTGGACCGAGAAAAACTTGTCTGCTGTCTCCTTACACTTCTCTGTGATGTTGTCCATCATGTCTTCGTTCTGTTTCCCATGTTATATATGTTTGGAATTTTCTTATCTCCTCATAGTTTCCCTTTCGGAATTCTAGCCTTTTGTTTTCAGTTCCCTTCCTTGAGTTCATTAACCCTTCTTCGACAAAATACTCAAATGTCAGTACACTGTGATCGCTCATTCTTACTGGGGCCTCGAAACCGATTTCCCTTATGTCGGAGTCGTTTAGAGTGAAGACTAGATCGAGTCTCGCTGGTTCATTGTTGCTTCTCATTCTTGTGGGTTCCTTGACATGCTGGCTTAAGTTTTCTGTTGCCACCTCCAATAATTTAGCTCTCCATGTATCCTCACCTCCATGCAGTTCCTTGTTCTCCCAGTCTATCCTTCCGTGATTGAAGTCCGTCATGATGAGCAGATGGGATCTATTTCTACAGGCAGCAGAGGTTTCCCTCTCAATTATAGTGTTAACTGCCATTTTGTTGTCATACTCTTGCCTGGGGTCTTCTGTCGTTTGGTGGAGGGTTATGTATCACTTCTACTACTACTCTTGGTCCTCCCATCGTCATCGTGCCTGTTATATAGTCTCTGAACCCTTCGCAATCCAGGATAACCATCTCCTTGAAACTACATTCTTTTCTCATTAGTAGGGCCACTCCACCACCTCCCCTCTTTCCTTATTACAGTGTAGTGTAGTGTAGTGTAGTGTGTGTGTGTGTGTGTGTGTGTGTGTGTGTGTGTGTGTGTGTGTGTGTGTGTGTGTGTGTGTGCGTGCGTGCGTGCGTGTGCGTGTGCGTGTGTGTATAATTTTGTTTTTCTTGTTTACTGAACTTAAGTTTGAAGAGTATCTCACTTTGAAACTCTCATAAAACCTAGAAACTCTTAAATACAAAGATTCTCAATTGCTCTTTGTAGCCTTTATTTAAAATATAAACAGTAAATACTGTAGTTACAATCAATTTACCAGAATATTGACAAAGTGTTAAGGTAAAGTATATTATTGCAAACGAAATATTTATGCAGTGTTGAAGTTTTTATAAAAAACTTTATGGCATTTATTGTACTTTTATTTAAATTCTTGTTTCATTATGTTAATTTAAGTAGACCATGGATTCAATGTTTTGATAATTACTTAATCGATTCAATACTTCTATGTGCGAGTGCTGGTTGTATATTTAGGGATATACAGTATTTTGGAAATTAAATACAGTTAATAAACAATGATATTAGATTTTAAAAATCAGTACACATCTGTTTCTTGTTTAATTTTGCATAATAATTTTTGTAAGGCATAATATCTTGTATGGCATAATTCCTGCCTTGAAGACAAAAGTAATGGATCTCTCGTATATTAGCTGATTCTTTTTGTAACTGCTTTATTCTGCCAACATTTATTGAGCAAATTTAGTACTTGTTACTGAAATACAATCTCAATCTTATTGACTGATTATGTATGTATTTATACACACACATATACACATGCACACAATTACGTGAAACAATACTGAAGAACTCTTGATAAAGAAAGATCTAGGAGGGGTTTTGGATAGTAAGCTCATCAGTGGCTCACATAAAGATTGTGCAAGAGGAACCTACACTACGCTACTTAAGTTCAGATTTGCCTTTCAAATTTATGAATGGAGAAATACTACAGAAACTGTTCATGACATTTATAAAACTGTGATTGGAATATACAGCAGTTATATAGTCATTCATTCATATTCATCCTTACCTCAAGAACCACATCACTAAATTAGAAAAGGTGCACATGAACAATTGTAGACAATTGGAACAGGTTAAGTTAGAAGGCAGTGGATGCCAAAACCAACGCTAGTTTCAAAACATGATATGACAGATTACTGGGAAGATGGGACACCACAAGTATAGCTCTCATGCTTTAACTACCCTGTATACTTGGTAATTATTGGATAGACATATGCACACACACAAAATGTATGCTGTATATAATCTGACTTCTGATAAAAAATATTTTCTTGTTAAAACTAAGAATTTGGCTCTCAGTTATTTTATTAACTACAGTATTGTCTAATGTACATTAATTAGTTTTACACTTATGCAAGCTCTGTCAAACTACAAAATTTTGATAAATTTTATATTACTGAGGTTTTTATTAATGGATTAATACTGCTGTATTACAAATTATTGATTTTAAAAATAAAAAATCATGGAAAGCTTTAAGAAACCGTGAGTGGTTGCTACAGATTATAAACACACAAAGGCAAATGCTGAATATGTGAAATATTACTTTCTGAAACTCAAGTCAGGTATTGATTAAATATCAGCCTACAAGAATGTCTAAATACGGGCATTTTGAATTTTAAGGGAAAAATGGTTGATCCTGGGCATTCATTCACATCAGATTAATTTTACCCAACTCACACAATACATTGATGTTTTCTCATATACAGGATAAAGTTATTGTAGGGAAAACAACTTAAATTTTTTGTTAACAGTGTCTTAAATGCAATAGGTGCATTTTTCTTAATTTGTGGTAGCGGCTGAACCACTAAGGCATAAAAGTATGTAATCTACAATATATTCTCTGACGGAAGTGGTGGTAGTGCTGCACTTGACAAGAAAAGTAGTTAATAAAATGAAATATTTGAATCATAAATAACATTGTATAAACATATGAATTTTTGTCAAATATATGATTGAGCTGCATTATAGTGTCTCAAAATTACCTGCAGCAGATGTATGCCTGTACTGGAGTGCTGGAAGGTAAGAATCAGAAACCATAAATACACAATCCTATGCATTGTATTAAAATGTATAACTTAGAGCTGGTCTTTCTAATCAAAAGTAGGCTGCACGTGCTAGGTTTTTGTTCTTGATGCAAAATATAACAGTTCTTGATGCAAAATATAACAGGAAATGCTAGATTTGCTGTAAAAAGGAAAAGGAAAAGATTTAAATGTTTGCTGTAAAAGAAAGGTGGTAATTGTTCTCCCCACAAGTTTGTAATAGATTGCTAGACATCCAAGTCCATGAAGTTAGCAAATGGCATCTCTAAAGACAAGCTGGTGAGCCTGGTTGTAAACAACCTTTTCAACAGTAAAAATAGTTAAAATGGAAGATAATGTGTATGCACTTGTATGTTTTGTTACTCGTTATATACATGATATAAATAGCTGTGCAAGTATTTGTAATTATACCCAT